GGTCCCTTCCAACCTTCGGCATTCTATGATTCTATGATAGCAGATATACAGATTTCATTTCTTAGAAAAAAGAACATACTCAAATTCCTACAGAAAGCCCAACATATATAGGTCTGTTTTAACTAAACAAAGGTCTGTTTTAACTAAACAACTACTAGAAATAAACATCACCCAAGAAAACAAGAAAACACTTTTTTTTTGAGAACCACAGAGTGATAAAGAAGACTATACAACTTAGAACAATTCCTGTTAGATAGTTGCTGAGCTCTAGAGTACATAACATCTAAAAGTTTATTACTTAACATCTGACCATCTAAGGTTTCCCAAGAATTTTTTTGAAGAAATCTTAATGAAAATACATGCTGAACTACATAGAATCTGGGAAGCTCATATTTTGCATATTTTTAATATATGATTTAGGAAACAAAACAATCAGTAGTATACAATTTTTTTAAAATAAGGTCTGTTTAATAATGTCCTATTATGGRAATTACTTAACAGATTTAGCCAAACATTAATACAATGTTAAGAGATGCAAATTTCAAGGGAATGATTTTTACAGTACATATCATAATAAATATAAAAATGGCGTGGTTTCAAACTTAATAAAAGACAACCCCTGGCTTATACACTCATATTAGCAGCTGCATCAGTCTCATAGTAACAAATATACTAGTACTGCCTGCAACTACAAACACTGCTTTGGAAGTTAGATTAAGAGTTTCCATCAGTGTAAAACAGGACAAAAAAGAGCAAAAATTAGGCATACTAGTGTGTTCATTAATTGAGTCCACAGGTTTAGGGAGAGCTAGAAGCCCCCGGGAGCAACTACAGTTAAAACTCCAGCATTAAATATAAGAGAAAAGCTTGAAGTAAATACCATTTACAGCYGTGCTTCCCCTATCAGCTTTTCCAGCCTCTACATTTCCTGAAAATAAAACACAACACAACCTAAACACCTCCGAACGTTCTAGAAGATTTTCGCACACCGGGAAGTAACACCCACCGCAATTCCAGAGCTCCATAAACCCGCAACGAGAAAGCTCTCCCTACGGCTCCCGCTCCCCCCGCAACGGCCACGAGCCCCCAACGGTCGCGCCTCACCGCCCACCGCTCCCGCGCGTGCGCAGCCAGGCTCCCCGCGCCGCCCGCCGCCTTTTCTACCCTGCGGCCGCCACGTGAGGGGCGGGGCGAAGGGTTTAAACGCGGAGCGCCCCGCCCCGCCGCCACGTGACCGCACCGCTGAGCCGGTCGCCAGGGCAGTGGTGCGGCCRCTCGGGCAGTAACTGCCGCTCTGCGTGGCCGTTAGGCGCGACCGTTAGCGGCGTCTGCGGCCTGGGAGGGCGAACGAAGTGGCGCTTGTTTTCCTCAAGAAAGGCTGTTGCTGAGGGAAGTCGCTGTTTTCCGCCTTTGCTGTGTAGTTAGCGGAGCTGCGTCTGTTTCGGGTTTCCGCTTTCTCTCGCTGCTGCTGGAGGCGCAGCCTAGCGCGGTGCGCAATGGCTGGGAAAGCGCCTCTTCCCTAGACGTTGGCAGGCTTTTCCCAAGAACAGGCGGTTTTACGTTCTGCCTATGGATATGGCCGCTGACTTCGGCAGCAGGGGAGAGCCAGGTGAGCTCCCGGTAGATGGATGGGTGGTCTCGCGGGGTGCCTGGCTGCCTCTTCCCATGGGGGGTACGTTTAGAGGAAAGAACTGGGGGGAGCCGAGACACTCCTACCTGCTCCTCATTGCTTGGGGCTGGTCCGTAAAAAGATACAGGGAACCCTGACACCTATAGCTGAAGCCACGAGCACATATCTCTTTGAACTCTAGTAGTGTTGGCTGGAGTAAATAACAGCAGTAAAAACTATGTTTTAGCTAGAAGAAGGTTAGTAGGTAGAAGTTGGTAGGGCAATAGCCAAAAATGTCTGCTGTGGTCATGACCCTCTGAGTAAAGCAATTGCAGCAGGTGTGCTTAGCTTACATCTGAGGTTAAAAGCCTAATCTCTTCAGATATTCATGAAACTTACCTAACACAGTGAAGCTTTTTTTATAGTTATGAGTTATATGTTATAATTTGGGTATCTCTTAAGCTAAAATAAAACATATTGCAAGATATTTTTATTGTCGACAGAACATGGGCAAAAATTTTACCTGCGAAATTTGTGATCCTGAAAACAGGTGAGTTCATGTATCATGAGAAGTTTGTGCTTTGGTAAATGAGTGAGTGGTTTTATAACAAGAATGTTGCACACCTGAAACTGGTGGCATTGCAGGAAGTAGGGACAGGATTGCAAAGCAAAAAGTGCTAACAAGGCACAGTTGAAAAGCTTTTAGCTATTAACAAAAAATYCAAGGGAGTTAAGTGTTGTGTGGTAGTTCAGAGTGGTAAAGGACYGATGTTAGAAACCACCAAGAAACTCTCTAGAACAGTTTCTGTGTCTGAACTGGGTCATTCTGACTCAGAAACATTAGTTTGATTTTTGTCAAGTATTTCTTACGCTATGATATGAACCATTATGGCTGTGATCTTTTTCTGATATTTTTGACATGTATATAAACTTCTGYCCAGGTCCTCTGTGGAGTGATAACAGCTGCCAATCTGAGGAGCTTAATTATGTCTTAAAAAAGTCACATAACAGTTTGTTAAAGCTACTAAGTGAAAAAGATGTCATTACTTTGCATGCCACTTGAAATAGAATTTTTGAGATCTACTCTAAATCTGAYACATGAATTCTCTTCATGGATGTGAAATCAAAATTTTAAAATGCAAAATGCATTTAATTTACTATATTAAGATTCTTAAGTAGTGCTAAATTTGCTTCGTAATAATGTAAACATTTGTCATGTTCAATATGTAGCTGTGAGGGAATTTCTTGTTATAATGAGTTCTGTTCCCTATCTCTGATAAATTTTTACTGAGTTTTACCTGAATGCATTTTAGTTGTCAGGAGTTAGTCCTATAAATGAGAATTTAGGAGAGTTTAAATTTAGCCTTTATATGATAATTTGCTAAATAAACACAGCTTTTATCAGAATATATTAATGAATGTCCATTGATGGTGAGTATGCCTACAATGTTGCCTAAGGCTGCTCCCACTTTCCTTTGCAAAGTGCTTTGCCTGGCTCGGGTGGTAACTTCTGCCTTCACTGCTCCTTAATGACTTTTCAAAGTTATCCGTTTCCTTCCCAGTATTTCTCTCCAATAGTTTCCTTCAGATTATTTGAACTGCTAAAAGAACTATGGAGATATATAATGAGAAAATAGACAAGAAGTTGTTTTAGATCAGAATGTATGGATTGTCTCAGCAGTGTGAGATCTTACTAGTTGTATGGTCACTTTATTTGAGATAATGCAGATGGTGACAAACAACTTGTCTTCATTCTAGGGGCAATGGGGCTTCTGGATATGTTTGAATGCTCAGGTTCTCTGATCAGTGAAGCTCAAACTAAGTTTGTCAAATGCTTATTGAAAACTGCAGGGTCCAGTTCCCAACAGCAAATTAACTCTCAAACATTCCGCTAACTGAATTGACCACACAGGGTGTTTCTTCTGCTCCATGGCTTGGTGAGCCATCTTAGTTGTGCCAAATGCATATGTGGGTTTTTAGGCCAAAATGTTATTTTTCAAGCTTCTAAAGTAGGAAGGAAGAACTATGGAAGCAATTGAATTAATATTTATTGTAATATAAGCTCTATAGATTTAAACTGTTTTTTGTGAGAATATTTGAAAGCATTTTAAGAGGCATATTTTGTGCCTTTAACCTACCACCTTGTTTAACAGGCTCTGACTGCTAGTGCTTAATCTAAATAATGGTTCAGGCTGTATGTACCCTTATTCTGTATAACTCTGTATTTTTCAGATCACAGGCTAAACACAGCTTTTGGGCAGTATGGAACAGATAAATTTTTCAGAACTACTGCTGAGCAGGTATGTGAACTAAGGGATGATAGTGGTAAGAAATTTTTGTGCTTAAGTAATGTAACATGTCTTTGCTTATCAGCTGCATAAGAAGTACATCTCATTTCAGTGTTATCTTTCCTAGCTCTGGATCAATCACATCACTCACATGTGGCTCTTAGTTTCATCAAGTAGGAGGAGAATAAAACTGCAGTAATAGTGAATTTGGGTTTTTTTTGCATAGTTTCAGAAGTTTAAATCATATAGAAGTTGTAATCTATCCCAGGAAGAATTCATTTCTACAGAGTAGGCATTTCACATCTACACACTTTCTTTACGAGGGTAGTGTTTTATGTGGAGGTACCTTTTTGTGTTATGTTCCAACCGATTATCTGTGTAGAAACCAGGACATCAGCATTTTTCTGATACTGAGATATGTAGAAATGAGTTTAGTACTTGGGTWAACCCTTAATACTACTTCAAAGAATGGGCTAATTTCCTCTTGGATGCAGTTACACATTATTTCAGAGCACCTCCAGGAGTGGAATTGGTGATAATTCTTTTTCAAGTTGATGCAGCTTTCCAGAATTTTTGAGGATTAATGTGAAACTGATTGCCTGGAACACTCTCTGTGCTGTATGCGGTGTAGGTATTAACATGTAAAGTATTCTATTACAGGAAGATGTCCTTGAACCTAATGCTGCATCCAGATCCAGAATGATGAATCAAAGGTAAATGCAGTTTCACATAATTAGAGTACTCTGGGTTATTCATAAGCCAGTCATGTGCTTTTAAAAGTACAATTATCCAGAATCAGCTGGTGCAGGTATTCACAGTTCTAATTTGTGAATAGATCTCTGCAAAAGTTTTCCCATAGCTTTTTTATGGAGGACTTGTAAACTAAACAGTAGTGGGTGAATGAATTTTTTAAAACTGTAAAATAAAAATAGAGGTGAGTTTGTATGGGTCTAAGTAGCACAGATAACTCTGTTGTCTGTTATTGTCTACTGTCTTGCTATGATAATGTATAAAATGAAGTTTTCTCCATGGCCATTACAGAATTGCTTAATAGTAACTGTAATTTGCTTTTGATAATATGAAAACTATGTGCCCTTTATTGTCTACTGAGCATTTAAGGTATTATTGCTCAATATTATAGAGTTTTGGAGTATTAATTTAGGAAAAAAACAGAGGTGAAAAGTATGCAAATTAAACCACATTCTTTCATATTGTCTTGCAGTATGCTTAACTGGTGTTTTACATGAAAATAGCCAACTCCAGGGTTGAATGTTTGTTTAAATTCTTGGTGTATATAAAATGTGGGTGATAAATTAGAGTTAATGCTTCTTTATAAGGTCACATATTAGTTCTGGTGTACAGAAATTTTACTGTTAATGATCGTGCTTTAGACGTACTAACTTCTAAATAATTTTGACTTGCAAAAATAACTTGGAAGTAATTTTGACCTTGGAAGTAGAATAGAGAAAGTAGGAAAGTGACTGTTTTGTTCAGTTTTCTAGGAGATAGTAAAGTCAATTATCAGGAAAATATTTTGGTGTTTATGAACTGCTTTCTAAGCATGGTTTTCCACTTTTTAGCTTTTCTCCTCTACTTGTACAGTATGATAAGCATCTGGAAGAGATGAGTGAACAGCTGCAGCTTTATCAGGTGTGGATGCTATCCTATTTCACATTATAACTTAATTGTTTATCACTGCATTGTGCTTCCTTTGGACTATCTGAATGTGAAGGGACAACTTTCTATGAAAAGACTGGGATTGTCCAAACTAGTCAGAGTTTTGTGTGGGGCAGTGGTACTGTAAAAACAAACATGTGTGTTCTGTGCTATAAGTGCAAGCATCTTAGATGATACTCAGGTGAGGAAGCTGAGCCTCTCCTAAGAGGACTCTTTTCTTACTAGTCTGATTTGTGCTATGCAGTCTCAGTCCTGCTAATGTGGATACATTCAGACTTCAAATGTTTACACATTATCTTTGGAGGGACTGTCCTCCTTTTAAACCACAGGCAAACAGTATTTTTACTGATTTTTTTTAACTGTTAAGAAAGCACAAAAGCAAGATGGAAGTGAGAAAAGCTGTGGTTTGTAATACCTTAAACTAGTATGTGTAACCTCTCCTTTGTTTTTATATTTTCACTAAAGTATTTTCTACTGGATAGTAGTCTTGTATTTCTAAAAACTTCAATCAATTAAAAATAAGTGTAAAAATTTCAAAGGCTGAGTTTAGTAATGATAGCTAGCAAATGAAAAAAGATCAGCTTAACTTTCTTACCAGGAGTTAGCAACTATTAAATTTAAGTGTTAACCTGTGACTTTTCTTACCACAAAAGAAGTTAAATTACTTTAGTATAATCAATTAAATTGTCCATCTTGTATAGTTAAAAAAAAGGAGATGTTAATTATTAAAACTTAAATGCTTTTTTAAATGACAACTCAAATATTTTGCTTTAGGCCCAGATGGGTGAGATGAGACTAAAATTTGAACAAGTCACCAAGGAAAATGAAAGGTAAATACCTATTATTTTACCACAGTGGACTTTGTTTTTTCTAAAGCTTAAACATTTCTCTGGGCCCTATAATTCTTTTAAAGCTACTTAAAATAGTTGAAGATCTTGTGCTTAGTGTTAGAATTTTCAAGATCTTTGTGTGTATTACAGCACCAACTTTAGGAGCTTAAGCAATGTGTCTGTCTAAATGTACACGAAACTTTCAGAGTGTTTACCATGCTTATAACAATACATATACATGCTGTATAGATGTATAGATGTATAGTGTGTAGCAGCTGAAAGTTTAGTGCTTATATTCAGAAGTTCCTGATGAGGAAATAATTTTCTGTACATGGCTCTTTCAATTTCAGGCTCCATGCAGACTTGAAAGAGGCTGTTGAGAAGCAACTGGAGACTCTTCCATTTGTGGGGACTGATATTTCTGCAGATGAAGAAATAGTGAGAAACCTTCAAGAACAGCTACAGCTGGCCAGTCAGGTCTGAAATGAAGCATTTGCACTGTCTTATTGCTCATGTAGGCCCTTGGCAGACTAGGGGAAACAAATTTATTTCGTGGTTATGTTTTTATAACAATTTCTTGAGACAATTTTGAGGCCCTGTGGTTTTTTTCTGTAGTGAAGAAACAAGTGCTTACACTACTGACTTTGACTTGAGAAATTGTTCCCTGTGTATCCTCAGGGAGGCTTTCATATTTTATGCTGGTAGCTTCTTAGCTGACCACTTAGTGTTGAATTCCTTTCCAAGAAATAAAATTCTGCTTGCTTCAGCTTCTTGTGGTTGCTTGTCATTTCGACTAGCCATATTTGATCAAAAGCATTGTCATGGGAAATGAGGGACAACCATATGTGGAATACTGAGATTATTTCAGTGTTAGTACAATGATGCATTAATTCCATTTCACAGGATTAAGTAGATGTTAAACTGAAGGCTGAATTTTGAAGTTTTAATGTTGTATATCCATGAAAATTGCAGTTACAATAAGCCTAAAGTAAGTATCTGTAGAAGTTTAAATTTAACTGCTTCCTAGCTCAGTGGAGCTTTACTTCTGAGAAGAGCTGATAAAGATCACAGGGTAGGGGGAATGTGATTCCCTTCTAGACATAACTGTTCTATGTGTCTTGGTTTAGCAGTCTCTGAACCTGATATTTCATGTGGTTGCCAAATCAGAGGCAAGTATAGAAGGCAATCTTTTTAAAGGTTCAGACTTGCTCTTTTTAGAGAGTAGGGTATGCAGCTAAATGTATTGTATTTTATATAGACTATCATGTTTTTCATTTTCCTAGGAAAAAGAACACGCACTACAGCTCTGGCAGTCCATATCACGGGAATTTGATGAACTCCAGCAGCAGTACCAGCAACACATGACTGAAACACAGATTCATGTGGCTGAAAAGAAAAAACAGAAAGTAATTTTCATCTATATTGTTTATTTTGGGAAATATTTCTATACTGTAAAGGTTCTGGGTGAGTATATAGGAAAAAGGAAGGGTATGTTGTGTCTGCTAGTTTTTGTAATAGACATATCTAAATCAGTGCTCAGATGTGGTTGTGAATTCAATGAATAATTGTAAAGTTAGGAGTGGAAAATGACAAGCTCTTCACCTTTCCATGGACACTAGCGTAAGCAATGTGTTTAGAGTGACTGTGTGTGTGTATATATGCACAAAATGCACATGCACATAAAACCATGTCTGCATTGAATGGTCAGAGGAATCTTGAGTAGATTTTAACTAAAGGTGATTGTGAGGGTTGGAGGAGCTGGAATAGATTCTTACACATGGTTATTCAGATATTCCAGTTCTGAGCATGCCTTTGTAGATGCGTGGTATCATGAAGATGAGTTTATTTTAATTAGTTTAATGTTCCTTGAAAGGCAGAACTCAAGCCTGAGGCCTCATGAGTTCAACTGAGCCAAACCATTTTAAGTATGGACACAAGATGTTCTGATATTGCTGAGAGCAAATTAAGCATGTTATATAAGGACTCTTATTCTTAGTGGGTTAATGTCTGCATGTTTTGTTACCAGAAATAATCACAGTAATGGCTTAGTTGGTGTGCCTGTCTGGAGGCTCTGCTCAGTTAAGCTTTCATATTCTGGTRTTCAACTGTATGGGCTCTGGAAGGAGACAATGTGCAACAGTGAACTTTGGATCCATTTTTCTTTAGTAAATCTGACTTGTCAGATTGCTACATCAGCAGCAAAAGCCTAACTCAAATCTGAAAATTGCATTGAATTTCATGCAACAAGCATGTGTGTTTTGAAAATATTTTAAGTTGGCTGTACAACTAATTGTCCTTGATGCTCAGAAGCTGTGAATTCTCCTTTTAGGATCAACTGACTGGCTTTCAGCAGCTGACTCAGCAACTGCATGTAGCCAATGAGAAAATAGAGTTGGTAAGTGAAACTGCCTGGCCAGTGATCACATTAGGAATAGTCTTCTTTTGGAAGTGTAGGATAAAAGCAAAAAACCTAACATGTAGCTAGAAAGACAAGAACTTGTGCAGCTTGGACTTGAAGTCTCTTCTAAGGACTGGTTAACTTGTGTGGTTCTTGATTAAGGTTTGTGTTAAATATTGCCAGTGCTGGAGACTCATCCTAGGCAGCCTAGGTCCCTTTTCGTTTTCTTTACTGGAACCTTTTTTCCCCTACTGTATACCTTCTTTCTTGGTTTAATTTATGCATACTTGTGAAATATTGTAGCTGTGAAGGAAAGATTACTTTATTCTCTGCAGTATCTTTTGTTATTGAGAACTATCACACTGACATGTCTTCTCTGTCCCCAAGCTCCTCTTTTAGTCAAAGCAGTGGGTGGTTCATCTGAGGTGCTGATTGCCACAGTGGGTTCTAGATGGTAGAGCAGCTAAATGGGAGGTACAGAGAGGAGGTCTGAGCTGTGAAAACCCTGTCTCGGGACATCCTCACACTACCAAACTGGAGTGAAGGAGAGCATGAAGTGACATCACTCAGCATCTGACCTTTTACAATATTCTACAGAAACCTTAGGGCTCAGAGACCAGCCAGTGTTAAGTACACTTTTATCAGCTATTTTTATGGTGTTATATTCTCTATGAGTGTCCTCTAACAAGTTTGAACAAGTGTCACTTCCAACAAAGCACAAAATGTGTTACAAATATCTCCTTGTTTTGCAGAGCAATCAACACTTTCTGAAAACAMTAACAGAACAGAATGCAGAATTAGAGCAACTACGCAAACAACTGAGGTATAAATCAGGCTGTTTAAAATTGCTTAGGCATCTTGTCCATGCCTTTTTTTACTGACTGCTGTATCACAGACCTTATGTACTGCCAAACTGATGGGATGGTAGCTATGATATTTTAAGTTAATGCCTCAAGTTTATTAAAAATGTGTGTTTAATGATGTATAGATTGATGTTTCCAGTTTGCATAACTTCATTCAGCACTTAGAAATATTGAATGCCTTTCCCTTTTGATTTAAAAGGAATAGGGTTCAGTATTGCAAGAAAATTGACTCTGATCTTTTTGATCAGATTTTTTCATAAAACCTTGTTGTATGGGTAATTAGTTATGAATTATAACATGAAATAAGAATGTTCYCAGCTGAAGCTTCTCTTTCAATGTTTGTTAATAAAATTTGCATTCACTATTTCTAGATTAGTTGTAAGCAATAGGCTATTAGGATGTTAGAGGTAGGAGGAACTTTAATTATATTTGTGAAGTGTAGCAGTGAAAATGAGGAAAATACCTGAAAATTTCTGATTACTTACRTTAAACAGCTTGTCTGTAAATATATCTGTGAACTTTTTTAATTAGTGATAGTTGTCAAAATAAGATGTAATTTCTTTAAGCAGTGGGTTTGTGCTGGCAATAAAAATACTCATCAACCAGCAATATTTTGTGCAGCATTATCTAAAGCTTTTTAAAATACACATGTAAAGCACTTCCACAAGATGCACTTAATCATTTAATTAAAATTTCTCTTGATTTTTTTCTGACTGTGGCTTGATACTGTAATCAGTGTTCAAAATAGGCTGCTATTATTTGGGTTATCCTCTGTATAATATTGATTTGGAAGAACTTCACACAAATGTATAGTTGATTTAAATAACTTTACATACTTGTACATAAATGGTTAAAGCTGACATATGTGTTTGCATGTGTTTATTGCATGCTGTTTTGTGTGCTACTTTCACAGATAATGTTACTATTTAGTTAAATGTGTGCTGCTGAATTTTGTGACTCCAAGTCAGTCTGATGCAGTCTTTCTTTCTCTTTCCACTCAAAGCCCATACAAAATATGCAGAGAGCATCTGGTATTTTATGATAAGTATTTATCCAAGTGAAGGTTGAGTAGTTCCAAGTTCGGCATTATAAGAAGTCTAGTGTACCATGTCCCTAAGGGCTCTAACAGCTCTTGTGTACTGGTATCTACAGTAAATAAAAAGGTTTAGATTGCCTGGACTCATTTATTCATGTTCAGTGTTTACTCATTTACAAATTGCTCACTTAGTTTGGATAAAACCAAACTTTTTCTTGCTGTAAGAGCAATAAAACTTAACTGCTTCTAGCAGTAAACTTTCACCAACTATTTTTAGTTACAGTTTAGCTACTGTAAGGATTCTATTTGTCTTAAACATGACTTATCTACAGTTTATTTAAGACCAGGACTTGCTTACAAATGCAGAGTTAAATTAATCACTGAAAACCAAGTTGTGTTTTTTGAGGACAACTGTGTGCTGATTTTTATTGGCAAAGATGTTTACACAGCAAGTTAGCATGGTTTAGAGATGAAAAGGTGACAAGCACAGCATGTGCTTAGTGTGGTGTGTAAGATACTTGCTAAAATAAAGTGTTTTCCAACTCTGCTGTTYGCAAGTTCCTTGTGCCTGCTACTATTCTGTTTTTAAAGGCAAGCAGAACAYTTTCATATCTGTTTGGGAGATTTTTCTTTGCCTAGTACTGAGTCACTGTTGTGGTGGTACTGATGTGTGAATCTTCAGTCTCATGCAAGTTCTCTTACTGACTTTCAGTAAGTGAATATGAAAGCAGTCAACTCCTGAACTGAACTTATTTCCTAGACACTCAGTAAGCAGATGATGTCATCAGTATTCAGAATCAGTTCCTTGTATTTGCGAAATGCAAGAGTTTGGGAAAAATGAAGTCATGCTGGCTGCAGCTAGACAACCATTTTTTTGTCAAAATTCAAGTGCTGTGACACTTCTCCCTTCCTTGACTGTGCTTGAAGTTTATATTTGCTTTACAAAGCAAACTTCTCAGTAGGCTGGCTTCTGAGTTTTATGAAATTCTTACGTGCTACTTTGTAGGTCAAATGACAACCCAGGTGGCCAAATGACTATTGARTTCCTAGTATACAAAGTTCTGCATAAACTTTCAGCGGCGTAGTTGAGTGTGGGTGGTAGAGGGAAATGTGTGTTTTCTGATTAGACTGCTGCTTCAGCAAGAAGGGTATTGAAGGTAGAAGCAGCACAGCATACAAAAAGGATCTGAAAGCAAACAGTGAGCTTCCCTCGAACTTCCCCTGTAGCTGCCCTTGTCTAGGTGCAGCATCTTAAATTAGCTGCTGTTCTGTGAATATTAAGAAATGGTAGTGAGTTGGTTTCCACACATGTATGCCTGTCTCTTACCTATGTTTTCTGTGCCCCCATCTTCATTCTCACTTGAGTAGATTTGATTTCAGAGGGTCCTGTAGGGGAATGAGGTGGCTTAAGGTGGCGTCCAAGCAATGTGGTTTGTTAAGAGAGCACATAGTTACTGACAGTCAGTGACTTGTACATTCACGAACATCAGTGAGGCAAGAGAAAGCCCACAGTAATCTGGCTTTGCAAAGTATGAATGAACACCCTTCTCTAATTCTCCTGAGTTGTGATCACTGACATGCACACTCTTCTCTGTTCTTAGGGAGCATGTACCCTCTCGGAGGAAGCAGGGGTGGGCACAGCCTCCTGTGTCTACRTGGGCTGGCTCCCCTGCTTCCATATCCTTGATGCTGGATCTATGAAAGCTCTGCTTCTGTATTTGTACTGCTCCCTCAGTTCTGCTGGTTTGCATCTTGCTGAGGAAATGCGCCCTCAGTTTACATGATCTGCCTGGAGCAGTGATCCCAGTGCGGCCTCTTTGTTCTACCCTCTGCTGCTGGTCTGCTAGCCAGAGACGGGCTGCTCTGCAGCAGGCAGGGGGCTGCTCTGCAGCAGGCAGGGGGCTGCTCTGTCAGGCCTGGGCAGGCTGGCTGGGCTCGGAGGGCAGCTCCTGGCAGGGGCAAACAGGCATTAATGGCTGCTCAGGTGCTCTCCTCTCACCCCGAGGTGTCTGCAATCCCAGCTGCATGTTGGGATTTTGTTTTTTTTCTTTTCCCTTTCTTCCTTCAAGCTGTYTCCTCAACAGTCTCTACTGTTTACTCAGGCAGGTACTCACTATAAGCAGACTATGTCATTTTTATCTCCTCCCCAACTTATGACTTTGGGGCAAATGCACCCTCAGAGCAGCTTTGGGTATCCAGTTACAGGTGCTGGTTACATTTGTCAACGCCAGTGGAACGATTTTGTCTTTCTGTTCTGTCTCCCTGTTCATCTCAGATGAGCAGCAGGAGCACTTTTTTAAACAAGCTTTTGTAATGAGGAAGAAATGTGATTCAATAGCTCTAATCCATTTTTGTTACTTTCCTGGTTCAGCTATTTTGTCAAACGTCATCAAATTACAAAGCCTATCAGTTAAATTCTGCTGAAGTAGTTAATGATTTGTTTTTGATTTCTAATCCAAGTTGCTTTAAAAAGTAAAATCYAATTCTAAAGAACATTTCTCTTTAAGGTATCTCAAGCTGCTTGTTTAAATTGTTGAATCRCACCAAATTTTTGTTTACCTGGTCCTCCCAAATATTTATTCAACATGCACATGATTGTGTTCAGCCATAATTGAATGACAAATGTCAGTTGCCCAAAACAAATGTTTTAATGAATTTAGTATTCCTCTTACTGCGGTACATGCTAAGTGGATGGAGGAGAAAGCAGGTTCTGCCCTGAATGCAGAGTTTTGTTTTGAACTCTGACTGCCCTTAACACTCATTTCAATTAAATTGTAATAGAATCTGGTTTTCCTTGTAATAATTGATGTTTAATTCATCGTCTGTTTTCTTTCTACAGGCAAGCTAAAATAGATGGGCGGACAGCAGCTGCTAAGGTTGATGAAATGACCAGATTGGCAGAGAAGCTTCAAGGCCAGTTGGAGAGAAAGGTATCACAGAGAAAGGAATAATTGTCTGTTGCATTTCAATGGCTATGAGTTACCTGAGCGCTGACACTGCATGATTAATCTCAAAATGTTCTCTAATTTATTTTTGCTAGTAGATCTTTATGTTAAGTCAAGCTCAGATGACGTCTAGGTAACACTTTTTTTTTTTCTAGGAGGAAGATATGGTGTCTGCTCAGCAGAGAGAAGAAGCCTCTGACAAACGTTTGCAGCAAATGCAGTCTAGTATAAAACAATTAGAAGCAAGGTAAGATATTTTGCTGAATGTTCCTAGCAGGTTGCATACAAGTGATAGAAAATACGATCTTTTCCTCAGCATCTGGGTTTTGTATTTTTGAATAGTTGTGTTTTCTCAAGATGCAGATATTTTGTGTTTGGCTACCTTTTGTTATAGTCGTCCTTCTCTATAAGAAGGAGAATTCTTATTTTTTTTTTTTTTTTATCAAAAGTACTTGTGTGACTTAATCTTCTCGGTCACAGATTTGTGGATCTGAGTAGCAGATTCTTCAATAACTCTACACCCCAAATAATTACCTGGGCACGTTGTCACTGCTTGGCCAGCTCTTACCTTGAGGAGTTGCACAGATTTGTACAGCTGCCTCTGCTTAATGAATTCTCCTATCATAAGCACTGTGGAGGCTCTTATGTTTATTTTGGAATGTCTTAAGGAATTGACTAGCTTTATTACTTTCTGTAGGCTTTTGGTTCTCCAAAAAATGTGCTTAATGCAGCTGTCCCTCCTTGTCCTAGGAAGGACTCTCTAGCCCTCTCTCACGCCGAGCAATACTGACAATAAGAATTTTTGAGCTATTGYAAAATTACTAGTGTTTTTCCAGTTCTAATGGTATAGTTGAAATTTTATTACCCACATCTAATTATTCCATTTTTCCCACAAAGGAAAACTTTATCCCTTCTGAGGTTGTTCTGTTCTGTTTTAATATAAGACATTTTGCAGTGATGTATCCCTGGACAGCAACATTCTTCTAAGGAACTTCTCAGACTAGATCTCTGAGTTAACTCCTTTAGTTCTGTTYCTTTTTAGGGCATGATATATACTAAACCCAAACAATTTCTCCAGAAAAGAGCAGAAAAACCATAATGTAATTTTGACAAATGATAAATATTTTTTAAATGTGAAAAGTAATTTGAAAGAATTTAAGTGTCCTAATTGTCTTATTGTGAAATGAGAAGAATTGTTCTTGTCTTGTAGATTACGTGTTACTGTACAAGATGCTGAACAGCTGAGAACAGAAAGAGCAGCTCTGGAGAAACAGATCAGAGAGCTTCAGACCAAGTGTGCTACTCTAGAGAAGGAGAAGTATAGCGCTGTTACAAAAGTCCAAGACAGCATACAGCTTTTAGAAGAAGCCAACCTACAAAAAAGTCAGGTAAGGCAATGAATGGAGGTGTTTCCTGAATACTAGAACACTTGYGTTACTTACAATTGGTAAGTGTCAGATAATGTATTCCTATACATATGCATGTATATATAATCAAATTTCTTCTATTTCTCTAGTAATCAATTTAGTAGTGCAGAAGAAAGAGACTGCGATACACGTTTGTGTGTTATTCAAACTTGTCGTACACTGTAAATGTCAAAGAATATGAGTGCCTGGATAAAGGAGATCCAAGTGTACTCTGTTTGAATATTGAAAAATTCCTGGTAGTGTTTCTCATCAATACATTTAAACCAATTGGTTTGTTGGAGGAAAGAAAGAAGCTACTGTTATACATTTATAATTTGTTAATATTTAAGGAAAAAAAAGAGCTAAAAAACTAAAGGGACCTTTTCTTTGTGTGTGATGAAAGTAGGTTACCAGTAGAGTTAGTTCTGTGCTCATATCTTAATTATTTGTCAGAAATCTGGAAGAGTAGTTGTGCTATGAGCAGGTGAAGTCTGCAGAAAAAAAATTGGAGGTGCCTGACAGTGGATGATAAAATAGCAAATGAGATTGAAATTCTCATACGCTCTACTCTGTGCTGAGTTTCTTGTTATTACCTCAAAAAAAAATTCAGATTTGCTGCGGATATTTTTTATGCATACATCCTCTCAGTCGTCAGAGATGGGCAAAACAATTTCTCCGTCGTCAGAGATGGGCAAAACAATTAATAGACATTAAGAGACTTGAAAATAAACATTTAAGCACCATGTTACCTTCATGTGCAGTTCTGTTCTGCGCATCTCAGATAAGGTATAGGTAACTTAAGAAAGTACTAGAGAGGTCAGTAAAGAAGATTAGGGGAGTGGAGAAGCTTTAAAACAATTTGGATACAATATGGAATTAAACTGTTATAGGATACGTTTATGACAAAAACACAGATATGTAAACAATCAAATTCATGATATGCACCAAAGAAGAATGCACCGAAACATCATTAGGACAGTCTGTGGTCCAGGACGTCCTGACACATCAATTCATTATGCCAAAAAAAAAAAAAAAAAAAAAAAAAACCCACTTGGTCTTGCCGGTTTTTAACCTCTTCTGAATCATCCTTTCGGAAAGAGCATGTGGGGCTTTGATCATTTTTTTTTCTGATATAGGCACTTTCTTATTTTAATGTTAGCTTTAGCTCAGTCAGGTCAAGCCTTTAGAAGTATTAAAAATAGCTTGAACAGTGTTTGCTGGCAAGACAGAACTGAAATGCACTTAACACATCGTAGCCATCAGTAAAGGAAACCCRGCTTAGTTAACTTCTGTGGAAAAAAAATGGAGAATCTTAGAATTTATTCTGTTCTAGATAAGATGTAAGGAGATTAACCCACACTCTTTTAGTCCGAAGTTGCTTTTCAAACTGGGTATTCTCCAGGGAACCTAATTTTTTAGCTTTATATTTGAGAATATTAAAATTATTTTTTTTTTCTTTTTTGCTTTTTGTGATTTCAACTCTGTGACCAAGGAGCTAGATCTTGTCTGCCAGAAAAGAGGACTAACTTCTTTAACAGGTCTTGCTACCTCCTGGCCTTCTTTCAAAATAGACTGGAGTATTAACAAAACCTAAGAACACCAGTAGTTATTTCACTAGCCAGCAACTTTACTGTTATTCTTGTTACACGTACGAGCAGCCTGATTAGAATGATTTTTAAAGGATCATTGTAGCTGGAAATGGTGCCCCTGAAAAGACCGAAACTATGAGCGCTTGGCAGTAACTGAAAAGCAGGAGACAGACAATTGAAGCTGTGAGTGAAGGAAGTATTATGATACTTGAGATTAAAATATTAGAAAAGAACAGAAGAACAAACATATGCCCCCCATTTTCCCAACTATGCCCAACAACTGCTTCCTTCTCATCTTGCTATAGTTTCACGTCTCATAATTTTTGTCATTTAGAAAGTCTRTATGTGGCATCTTTTGAGCATTTGCCTTCATTTTCCTAACTTCTTYGTAACTTTCTGAATTTTATTTGTTTTATACAATGTTCTTCTGCAATTCCCTTAACATATTAGGCTCTTGTTAACAGAGAGAAAAAAAGTTGAAGTTTAACCTTTTTCTAGATCCCCATACAAAAAAGTCATCCATTGTCATAAGCTTTTTGCTTGTTTCAGCTTTACAGGAATGCACATTTTGTGCAAAAGGTTCTCACTGATCTTATGTTCTTGTGTTCCTGTTCAGCTCCTCCAAAGTAGAACAGAAACAGACTTTTTTTGGACAGGGGCTCTGTGGCTTCTTCTCAGCGCTGGAGATTATTTTATCACTAGTGTGTTATCAGTAGCATTTCAAGTTGTTATTTTTTCTAGGCACTGTTTGGGGAAAAACAAAAGGAAGAGGAAATCAAAAAGATGAAAAAGGAAATGACCCAACTTGCAGAAGACACTGCTGCAAAAATTAGAAAGGCAGTAAGTTATCAAGATCATAAAGAGTCGGTTGTCAAGTCAGTTTGCTCAGAAATAAAAGTTTCAGTATTTATACYGGGAAGCACATAGATTCCAGAATCATTTATTACAGGGTTATTTTGGTTTCTCAAGAACGCATCAGAGCGAGCACATACATGTGTGACTGAATTCTTACAGTAATAGTGTCCTCTGCAAGTCAAACATTCACCTCATGTGTCCATAGAGCAGTTCAGACTAGGTTCAGATTTGCATAGAATGCCCCTGGCACTTGCAGCTGACCTCATTTCAAGTCAAGGTAAATTTTAAAAAAAATCTCACAGTTTTGGGGATTCTTTGTCAGCTGTCCTGAGCAGTTTCTGTTGCCTGAGCTACAGTTACCTGGACAAAGCTTCTGAACTTTGAAGGTTCAGATCTCTTCTCTTTGAAATGTTAGCACTGCAAATACTGTGCTGTACGATCTCTCTAAATGCCTTGCAGGTGATTCCAGCTAATGAGAGAACACCAATAAAGATTATGACTGCTCAGCCTTCTTGGGTTTATAAAGAAGCAGGAGGAAATACTAAATCTATATGCAGGAGTCACAGCTGAACTTGCAGGATTACATTTTAATTTTACTCTGTTTTTGATTGCAGGTAGACTCTGCAAAGAAACAATATAACGTGCAGATTTCTCGACTGACAGAAGAACTTTCTGCTCTTCAGATGGTACGGTCTTGACTGAGGAATATACACTTTGATAACAAAACATTTGAGGGTTCTAGCTTCCAGTCAAATAAAACACTTATAGTACTTTTTATTTGTGACTTAATATCAAGCCGCATAGCAAGAGAACCTAAAATGTTTTCCAGGACTGAACATCAAGCAGCACGTTGTTAGTAGTTTTGCGAGGAAAGGATTCTTGGTTTTAGGCATGTATTTAAAACTTGTAGGCAAGGCTGAAGACTTTGGTTTATTTGTTTCTAGGCTGGTGTTCCTCAGTGTTATTAAGTAGAACTATTAGTGACTAGTTGGAAAAAAAATCATGACTTTACTATCCTTTTTTCATGTATGTACATCAGTCAATGGAAATCTGCTAGAAAGTACATCAGAAATACTTGCTTTTCTGTTTTTGTTTTTTCTTATTCTGTTTGAGAGGTTTTTTTATAGAAATTGTAGATTTTTAGGGTGGTCTGGAAATGATTCCTYGTAAACTTTTATGATGGCTACCTGTAATTTTCCTAGCTGCATATGAAACTTTGGGTTCACCCCAACAGCCCCATAATTTCTGTGCTCATAGTTGCTGTTTTAGTCTAGGGTCAGGCTRATCTGTCTGATGAGAGGCAGTTGGGGCAACAGCTTAGTACTGCTGCAAAAGCATTTCCATGTTTCCTCTATAGAGCAACTTCACAGCTCCTCTGTTCAGCTTGGTTGGCATAAAAGGTGTTGAACAAGGAGTAATCTTGTGTATAGAGACAGTCCTATGTGTATCTCAAAATTAATAAGAGAAAAGTAATTGTCTAGAATTATGCCATATTATGAAATAGTACCTTGCCTCCTGTGGGTTTTGAGACATTAATATTACTTCATAAAAATGAATGTCTTATAGTCAGTGCACAGGATTTATTTATAAGGGTAAAGGACACTATGCTTTGAAAAATCATATTTAAGTGCAGAATTGCCTTGTGTATATTCAGTTATATTTTTCTTTTATTATGCATCTTGGCTGCCTTTGCAGGAAATAACATGATTTTGTAAATACAACAGTTTCTTTGCCTAAGTTTTTTCCTTGAGTTATACATATTTTGGCCACAGTTCCCAAGCGTGTTTATACTGAGATGAGTAAATGAGTAAATGACAAAACAGTGTGCTTTAGCATCTATTTCTSTTGTGATGGCAACTCTGTTTCTTTCAGGAATAATTAAATCATGGAAAGGTGATTATTGTAAATCCATAGCTGGATGGGTGGAAATGAAATATATGAAACTTGGTAAAATATGCTAAGAGAAAGTCTGCCTCACAACTGTTGTTTTCTTGAATGAACTCAGAACTCGTAATAAAACTTATTAGAAGGCAAAAGAGCTTGGTTAATAAGCCCCTATATATGGATTTTTTTTTKTTTTTAAGTTTAATTTTGAATTTCTGTGGAGTTAGTGAGCCTGATCCTATGGAAAAAATAATAAGCAGGTAGGTAAACATAATCCACTGTGTACTTACCTGCAGTGAGAATTGTATTTGCAATGGCAAGGTCTGGCTTTGGGATTTCTTGACCTTTGATTCTTTCTGCAAATGCTATGTTTTATTATGATTATGTTTTGATGAAAATATAAATTAAAAATTACTTTCTTAAAAAAGGAATGCGGAGAAAAACAGAGTCAAATTGAACGAGTCATTAGAGAAAAGCGAGCAGTGGAAGAAGAACTTGAAAAGGTAAGACAATTTTGTGCATCTTAGAAAGAAAAGATCTCTTCACTATTTCTAGTTTTCTCCCTGATATTGGGGTGAAAGATTATACTGTGATCCCTGGTTTTTTTATTTTCTTAGTTTTTATTCAATCTTCTTGAGTGTAA